GGACACATCATTGCTCATAACTTTTACACAAATTTAAAAATCTCTGTGAAAAAATATCTTTACAATTCGTCGAATTTATTTTCACTAACAAGAACAACACAAAAAAAAAGCGTTGTTATAAATAATTTCAATAAATCTACATCTTTGCTTAAAGCACCGCTCACATTGCGAGACGTGATCGGCAGAATTTGCAGAAACGAATACGCGAAAAGTTAGTCTTTTCTCGATCTGAGGAAGGCACGAAAAGCAATTTGAAACGAGATCGAAACGAAGGCTTGATTACCAGCTTGACTAACGAGACTTCGTCCTTACTGGGGAACGGTTCGTTCGTACCTACCCATCTCCAGAGAATCGATTTAGCAAGGAAGTGCTGTTCCGCCGATTCCTCGACAACGAGAGATCGATGTCACGTTAGAAAATCGATTTCGCATTTATCCGGAATAATCGAATTCTGTATTTAGATCCCAAAATTAATAGCTTCTTTCTTTTGTCGTAGGAACAATTTACAATCTTCTTCGTGAAAATTGAATTCGCGATTTTTATCTTCCTTGTGATGAAAAACTTCTTGCAATAAAAAAAAAAGTGAGGAATTGGGATGCTGCATATTTGGGATAATCGAAAAATAAAAAATCGTATGTACGATTGTATTGTTGTTTATTGTCATTAGTTGCTGAGAAGATCGATTACACGTTGTCGATAACGTTTCAAGATAATGCAGAGTCTCGTTGAAATGTTTACGGCCACCTGAAAGATGATCTTGCTTCTATTTGATTGTTTGACAATGAATGCTACTTCTCTTCTGATCGATTAGATCCTTTGTTCACATTCGTGTCATCACCGGTCTCCGGCTATTGAAAAAAGAATTTTTAAAAGATAGATGTTCCTTACCAGTCTCTAAAAAATTCTCTGAAAAATAACCTTATTGCTGTTACGAACCGAATATTATTTTTAAAAAATTGGTTGGTTGAAAAAGTGGTTTCCAATGGTTCTCTTGATTGGCAATTAAAACTTGCATCAGAGTATCCATGATTTCTTGAGCATCACCCATTCCTGTCATCTTTCAAAAAATCTAGAAAAAAAAAAAAAAGGAAAAAAAGGAGGAAAGAGAAAATTAAAAAATAAAAATTTAAAAAAAGAAAAATAAATGGAATACGACACGAAGAAGTTAATAACAAACCCATTGTCGACTTTCGTGTAATCGACGAAGCGGAAATTCGTTTCGAGAATTCGACGGCAAGGGTATCGATACCAATCGATACGTTTCCACCCAGCCACGAAGAGAGAACAACTCGAGAGGAGAAACACTTGAAGATTTTCAAACGAATTCGCCCGACTCCCGTAACTCACTTACGAAGTCCAGGGTTCGATTAAACGAAATATCAAGGAACGTTTGCAAGGAGTATGCGTTTGAGTTACGGAATTGGGGGAAAAATTCCCTTCCCTATTAGAAAACTAACGAATATGATTCCCTTCCCTCCTCCTCTCCCCCTCCTCGAAAAGAGTTTCCTGCGCTCCACGAAAACTTTCGTTCGATTCTTAATTGAATTCGTTCCACGGATTCGTGTAAATATTGTTCCTCCGCCGAACGATCCCGAGAAATATTTTCATATCTTGGATGGATATTCGCATATCTCCTGGCCACGTTTTTCTTTCTCGAAATTAGACACGTTCTCATTAGACGTTGTTGTAAAAACCTGGAGAGATAGAGAACGAGAAAGAGAGAGAGAGATATTTTTGATTTGAGAGGGAAAAAAGGTTTGTAACTTTTCATCGTTAGTTGGCTCGTACGCGCCATCGTAATGTACATTGATATTGCATGTATAATGCAACGTGCATGGCAGGTGTGTGTATCGATTACTTCGAACACTCGGCTCCCGCGTTATTGAAGTAAAAGGATTATGCATATCAATGGCGCCAATATTCGGTTAGCCGGATATTCTGACCTATGCGCCGGTCCGAATTCATGGACGAATCGGAAAGGGCTGTGAAAGGTACAAAATAGAGCAAAATTTCGGATTATACGATGAATGGTTTGAAAACGAGATCCACTATTTCGACTATTCGAATATATTCGAATATGTTACCGTTTGTAGACGACTTAGCACTGGAAATCATGGTGGAACCATTGATACTACATTTGTACTAGATTGAGTTAAATATGATTGATTACGGATGCAATATTATTCTTAGAATGCTGGATCTCGTGAAAAATTAATTACTAACGCGTGTAATATCGTTCGAATAAATATTAAACTAGTGATTGTCAGATCTTGAAAAATCAAAATCTCTGACAATTGATTAACAGAGTTGTTTCTAAACTAATCGCAACATTCGACGAATCGTTTCGTTTCTAGAAAATTTTTAACAAATTTTAAGATCCGTGGATATGATTTAATATGATAATTTACAAAAAATCCCTCGGATAATTCTTAATAATATCATAATTCTTCTAATATTATTTCAAATCACTACTCAATTCCTCAACGTTGTAGAAAATTCACATACCCACATAAATTGCTTATCCCCTCCCAAAAGAAAAAAAAAAGAAAAACAACCACTCGACGATCAGATCGCAAATTAAAAAAAAAAAAAGAAAGAGAGAGAAAGAAAGAAAGAAAAAAAAGAGAGGAGGGGAAAAAGGAGGAAGAAGAATAAAAGAAAATACACGAAGCGAAACAGTGATTAAATAGCATAGAATGGAGGGAACAGAGGGAGCCCGTTTAAAGGATGTTGCGCCGAATAATGGAAAGTCTGTCGACGTTAAAGCGATCGACGGAATAAATAACTGATGGTGAATGTACAAAGCGGGTGCTGCGCGACTTCACATGTCCTGTGTAAAGGTATACGCGGTCGCGCAAGGACGCGAGGCTAAAAACGTAGTCACCGTCGGGATATATTCTTCTTTCCCCTCTCCCCCACTTTTCGTATTCCATTCTCGGCGCAGGTTGTATGAAAAGGTTCGATGCGCGGGGATGGTGGGGCCATTTAATACATAGGTACATATGTCAAGCAATAAGCGAAGTAGATACACTGAAATCTCATATTCGCCCCGGAGCATCTCCACCCTTTCCGTTACTAGAAAGGATATCATTTCAATAGATGCTACTCGCCGCTCTGTTCACTCCCTGACAATCTCGTCCACGAATATCGCCCCGTTACTGTAAAATCAAACGAGAAACCTAGGCCAGGTTTTATCCTGGGCCATGTTGATGAATCATCCCTTTCCTACGCGCTTTTGTTATAGGTATGGGTAATATTGTCCGATAATATTCACGGAATTTCATAGGATCGTTGATCATGGGAGTTTTGAATGGGAGGAGGATTGTCGAGTGGTGAAAAAAAAAATAATATATATATATATAATTATCAAGAAAAAGAAGAAATAAAAGTAAAAAATATAAATTAAATTTTATTATATAAATAAATATCATCGTTACGATAAAATTTTTGATATGTTTGCGAAATGCGATAATATATATTTTAATATCTTCATATAAATAACACGATATTTAAATAATCCTTTCGTGTATCAAATAAGAAATTAAAAAATAGTATGGTGTGTAAATATATTAATACGATATATCGCTCGAAAAAAAAAATGATATAATGAGATAAAAATAAGTTAACTCTTTTTTAGTGAAGATAACACGAATTCTATCTTGTTCGCATAGTTAAATAAATTTAAAATTTTTAGTTCCAATATGATTAAATGGTAGACAATTTTGAAGGAATAAATAATTAAAACCTAATTTCAGAGTCGGGAATTTATGAAGTTATTTACACAAATTGCACCATAAATGTGTGCATAACTTGTAACGTTATTTATACAGTCATAATACAAAGATATTTAAATAGTGTACATGAAACGATTTAAAAGAATGCCATATTTATTCATTTCACGTGAAATAAATACTCAAAGGAACACTTTCCTTTTCAGTTATCCGCTCACAAAAGAATCTCTCAGTCTGTCCCAGTTTTCAAAATCGCTCTTTACTAAAATCTAATCCACTCTGTCCGTAAGCGATGGAGATTCGAGATACAAAGATACAAAAGAAGAATGCAGAAACGAAAAAGACAAAAGGAAAGAAAAATGAAAAAAAACGGTACACATCGGAGAAGTAAACCAGAAGAGACTAATTCTGTGGAAAAAAGTGAGAAATGCAAACGTATCGCCGTAGGCGCACTGCGACAATCTTGAGTAAACACGCTGGTTATAGATAAAAGCTTTCAGTTTCCCGGATGTTTTTAAATATGGGTTAGTCTCAAGCACACGTCACACGAATAAAAGGTAAGAGGCATGTCGTCCTTGTTATATTCGTGAATATATTGCTCGAGACAGATCAGACATGAAAGATCAGGCGTGTCTGAGAAAATTAGATTTTCCGAAAATAAATTACTGTTTCCAGTATGAAACTTCATATTTATTATTTCTATTTATTATATCTATTTAAGTCATATGATTAAATATTATGGTATAAAGATCTTAATTTTCGAACAACTTAATATAAACTATAATAAAAACTGAATAATATCTATCTAAATAATAATATGGAATATTAAAATATCTGTATAAGATACAGATTGGAACTAAATTTTCATTAGGAAATTTATAAATATATATAAATATATATATAAACATATTCATTTGTGGAATTTAATTAAAAAAATTCTATGAGCAATGAAAAATAATTTTAACATTATTTAAAAAATTCAATAAATCTGCTGCAATGAAAATTTTTGTTTAAAATTATAACACATTCTTTTAATAATTAAAATCCATTTTATACAGTATGTTATAAAAGATTACACATCAAATGTAGTGTTGGAAATCCTAAATGTGTGATCTCTTAATTATCTCTAGTATTCTGTACTTTACACGTTAAAAGTTCTCATTTAATGCCGTACAGAAGAATTATTCGAGTTAAATCTCTCCAACTTGTTTCACGAAGAAACGAAAGTGGACGTTAAAAGGGACTACGCTTAATTAGAAATTTCCATACCTTTAAGATGTGGTATTCAGTAACATGTCCCGACTTCTGGCGGCTTCACTTAATTATGCAACGTTTGTGAACTACTGACGATGGTATGATTAATTAATTATGTAACGTAATCAAGAGAACGCGTTTACGCGCCAAAGCCCACTTCACTTCGTGTACACTATCGATACCGTATCGGATACACCGTCAACGTTTTCGATATATCGATGTCATACTAGCATAGCGTCGCGAGCCACGTTGCATCATTAAGAAACTACACGTTCGAAATTCCCGCCACGCTCTCACGCGGTTGTTTCTAACCGGCTGTCACGTAAACATCACACTCTTTACTCAACGAACACATTCACACTTAAATTAATGCAACCTCATTTCAATATCACGCGACACGCGTCCTATGCAAGTACGTCGAAAAGGAAAAAAATCCCTCCAGTCGATAGCGCCACTCGATCGATCGTCAATGTCACGAATTAGCAGCGATCCTCGTAAAGAACGTCAATTTTATGTCTGTTCCGTACTCGCTGCGCATCAGATTCATACTCCATCCACGATTTTTTCTACAGATCTGTAATTTTCGTTCACACGGGGCGTCATAAATCTTCTAAAACATCGCTGTTTTAAAATCGTAATAGCGTCGAAACAGCAGTTCGCACGAGTGCCGCGAACCACACTGAACTTAACCTCAATTCGGATTTCGTTCGAGAACACACACTCGACGCTCAGCAAATCTACTGGCTATAATGTCGGGAATATTCTCATGCCGATGACATTTCGCGATGACACGATGCACACATGTGACCGTACCGAAAGTGGGCCACTCGTCAGATTTGGTTGGAAAACGATACACATAAACTCGCGCACTATTACTCGTCCCTTGATAAATTTTTTTCAATCGTTGTCTACACGCAGATGTAAAAAAATCCACAACTTCCGCACGACTATGGAACGAGGAAAAAGCTAGAGACACGGAGAGAAAAGGCGCGGAAACTCTCCTCTCGCGAAACGGCCCGGTGACTGAATCGAGCAGTGGACGAGGGACGAGCGACGAGGAAAACAGGCGAGTCCGTTGAACGGGTGGGGGTAACTGGAAAGGGTGGTTGAAGATACACCCATGCTGCGCGCATGCGCATCGCGGTTCGTATATCTTCTCTCCTTGTCTACCTGTCTTTTATATTCTCGTTCTCGCTCCGATTTACGCACTTTCCTCGCTTCGCCTCGCTCGCACTTTTCTCGTCGTTTCCCCCCCCGGATGATCTTTTCTCTCTCTTTAACTCTCTTCGTAGGTACACAGGAGTTCCTTAGGCTTGCTACGTGCCTTTATTACTGGCCATTATTTCTCCAGAATGCTGTTAACCGTAACACTACGAAATGATAAATTAATTTGTTCTCGTACCGGTCGAGGCGGGAAAGTGTATCACGCCAATGAGGGCTCTGCGCACGTTTTCATAGACGGGGAAAGTTATAAGATGTGCGGGAAGATGCAGTCGCGAGAAGGCTCGATATTGCCTGGTTAAGACTGAAGTATTCTGTATCCTGTGGATAGGTCAATTTTTCGCCTTTAGATAGTAGATAAGATAAAAATTTTACTGATAAATCTCGATTATATGTTTTTGATTATAGACAAAGAGCGGGAAATTGAAAATTTGTCGTGTCGCGTCGATATCCTTAATTTTTTAAATTATACAATATAAATTGATGGTTATACATTCAAGATTAATTAACGTTTACACAAGACTATTAAAAACGTTCTGAAAAAGTAAAAAAGTTTTGCCTGGAAGAAAATAGGTTATTTAAACGAACTACCGCTTTTTGCCAAGGTAAATAAAGATAAGCAAACTTGAAACAAAATAGCTAAAGAAAAATGAAAATACCCACCTTCCTACCTACCGCTCTTGTTTATTAAAAAATGGAAATTAGAACTAATTAAATTAAATTATACGATAAATAAAATTAATATAATATAATTAATAATTTACTATTTACAACGTAACATATCTTATTTAATCATTCATATCATATTTAAAATCTATAACAAATTATAATAAGAATAGTAAAATAATATTTCATAATATTAGAGATTAGATATCAAAGTGAAAAGAAATATCTTTGAAAAGTATAAAAAAGAAAATATTTTTTCCGATCCTATTAACAGTTACTAACGAAGCTAAATAATTTCCACGCGATTAATCGACAAAGAAAATATTTTAACATCTATTTTCTACAACACGTATTTACAACGAAGTCTCTACTATTAACAAAGCAACGACAATACCATCATAAAATGTCCAACAAAATACAAATATTATTCGATAATAAAATCCTAATTGATTCGACGACGAATACACCAATCTCCTCCCAATACTTTTTTCTCCCACACAAGTGTACACGGTTAATATCACATCCGATATATCCCCCGTTAATGGACGAGCTTATTAACGCCAGAACGTTAGCAGCGTTAATAACGAAATAAACTCAAACTCGCGTAATCTTTATTACGCTCGATTAAATCGCACTTCCTATCAATAAACGAAGCCGATCAGATCAATTCATTTGCCTCATTCCCCCCCTGTGATGATATCGATCAGTTTGTGACTCGGTAAATTGCACGGTACACCCGTGATCCCCGTATATAACGCGCCCAGTTTGTAGCAACAACCGGCTCGTTACCAACATGTCGAGCCAAAGCCCCGACAATGGGGCCTCATCCGACTGCGCCTCTCTATGCTACACCCGAGGCTCTTGTCCGCCTCGTATATATGAGCGTGATAATCGTAATACAACGGATGAAAGACCGGACGCATAATAGCGACAGGGCTGAGAGCGTTAGCCGCGGTTGACGGGACGTATAGCGCGCCCAACGTTTCCGTCCCATCCTTGGTAATCGATGGCTCGTGACACGATCGCGTTATCACTTTTCTGCAATCTGCACGCACCGCAAACGTAGGAAATCGGCGGGGAGATTTTATTGCGGTACACCCGGTGTATCACTTTCGAGCGGAAGGTAATGTCGTATTTTCCCCGACCTCGACCGCGAACGCTGTGCTTCACCGCGATTCGTAGGATAAATCATCGATGCGACCAAATCCTGATGCGTTTCGTTATTCCTTCCACCACCACGTTTTGGGTACATTGGATGGGTCGTGTCCGTGGCAGAGTAGGCGCTTTCGTTATCGGCCCGACAAGGCAACAGGCGATGTCTTTGGGGTAAGTGGTCAGAAAATCATTTACGTTAATGAGGTGGTCCGGCCACATCTGGCCGAGGCTGTGCAGGTAATTCAAACGGTAATCTATCCTGTAACGGGGGATTTGGTATGGCTCGCGTAAATATTTCGTAGATTCGGATAGCTTTTGTTGGGTAAATTAGTTCTCTTTATTCCGTTTTATTTCCGTTTTTTTATTTTTAGAATTAAATGTTTTTAAATCATCTCTACGGGGTGATTTTATCGATATATCGATTTAAATGAACAAACGACTTTAGAAGATTAGTTTGTGATTATTAATTTGAAGTTTCGTAGAAATTTGATTCCTCTCCGTTGAATGTAAATAATGTTTGACAAGTTTCTTAATCTGATATTTAGACTAGATATTCTTCGACAAACTACAGTATCTATTATAATTTAATTTAAAAAATTAATCTCTCGTTCGTTTACTTTATTCGTTTATTTCCCACGATTTCTTTGTGTTTCCTTTTATTCACTGTATGTATCGAAAGGTATACGATATTTTACCGCACATCGGCCAAAAATAAATTTCTCCTTCGTCCGTAGAAACGAGGACAGAGTTCCATTCTGTGGCAGGAAGTATTTTGGATTTTATTTTCGTCTTTTCAATTTCTGTTCCCTCTCTCGCAGCTCTCCTACAAATCCATCGTGGCGAACACAGCCAGCCAGTCCAGCGATGAATTCTCCTATCAGAGATAAAACCATTCCCATCCGGTCTTTGTCCCGATACAAGCGACATACGTGTACAGTTTCGATGGCCACGACGAATATAACGTGCAAAACGAAGAAACTCGACTTTCAATTAAACTCCAGTTCAATTACACTTGTCCTGCACGGATCCCTCTATCTCTGATTGCCCGTTCGCGCGAGCACCGCAAGCGCTTTTCATCGTTCTTCAATGAAATAATGCGGTTAACCCCTTCCTTCGTGCGATCCATCTATATATATATATATATATATATATATATATATATATATATATATATATATATAT